CCAGGCCCCCCCGGGGCAGAGCGAGAGGCCGGGCTGGGAGCACCAGCATCTCAGCATGGGTTTGCTGTGTGCTGACCACGGCCGAGCGAACTCCCGTCCCCCTTCTCTTGAGAGAGCCTTGAATTCAGGCTTCCTGTCAGCAAAAATTAGCCTCAGCTTTCTGCAGTGCGTGTTTCTGACCTGCCAGCGAACCGGTGCTGTTGTGTTTGGGGCGATCTGTGCCGCGGGTGTGTGTGCACAGCCAGGACGGGGCTTTTACTGGTTTATTGGTTACAAAACAGACACCAGGCGGGGGTCCTGAGCGGGTGGGGCTGCCAGGGGTTTCTGCTGTGTGAGGCCGCCTGGTTTGCTGGCAAGAGCCGTGTCAGTTTGTGTGCTGAAGACAGGTGTTTTTGCGCCTGAAACTTAATTATGTTGACGTAATTATTCCGTCCCTCGAGGCAGTTGCACGGCACGGAGTAGAACATAAAGCGTGTCCGCTGGCGAGGCGTGGATGGAGCGGGGATGGTGGGATGGGAGGTTTGCAGGCTCCTCCCCCCCCAGCTCTGCCTTCACAGGCGCAGGGCAGGGCGAGGCAGCTGCTCTGGGGCTGCAAAAGCGGGATCCTTTGTATTTTGCACTTATTTGAGCCCAAAATGTTGAGCAGCCCTTTAACTCGAAGCATTTCCCCTCCCTCTGCCCCCCGCCTGGCCGCGGCTCTGCTGCCTCCCCCTCCTCCCCGGCTGCAGCATCCTGGGGAGCTGCGGGTGCATCCATCGAGCGGCCCCGTTTCTCTTCCTCACGTCTCCTCGCTGCACATTCATGTCACCAGGGTTCACTTTACAGTAACGCCCGAGCCCCCAGAGCTAAAATGTCCTTTCCGCATGGGCTGGTGCAAATCACTGGGCACAGAGCGGGCGCGGAGCAGCCCCGGGTTGTTCTGCGACCGCCGCTTCCCTCTGCATTTCATCAGCGCGTTACCCGGGGCTGTGGTGCCGGGACTTCTGCCGGAAGGAGCCTGTTTCAGCAGCATCGCTGTGTTCGAGCAGTGTCAGCTCTGATTAACAAACAGGTATTTTTCAGGCTTGCATTCCCATTGCCTCTCAGGCAGCGTTTGAGCAGGGGATGCCAAGGTCGCCCATAGAGTCCTCGAAGCCAGCCCAGTGCAGCCCTTTCCCAGGGACCATGGGTGCCCAGGGTCTGGAGCACCCGAGGGGAGCTGGACTGGAGCCCCGGGATGCTCAGCAGCATCAGCTCCACACTCACCCCGTTCCTTTCAGCACACCCCTGACTGTCATGCAGGAGGCAGAAGTGCCAGGGGGGCCCCACTAGCCGGGGGGGACCCCACCAACCGCTGACACACATTCTTTGCTGCCCCGGGGGATTTCATTTAGCAGTCCCCAGAGGAAGCAGGGTCGGGGTGCCAGGAGGGGTGTGCTGTACGTGCCCAGCTGCCTCCCTGCCAGGCACTGTCAGAGTAATGATAGCAGAACGGAAGAGAGGAATTAAATGCAGCCATTCAACTATATTTAATTTGTGCCGTATCGTGGAGCCAAGGAGTTAGTTCAGTACAGAGTCTTATCAGCCTCTGTGGAGGATTGAGGTTTTTATTTAGTGGGGTTTTTTTACTGCCTGGTCTCTCAGTTGCAAATAGCTGGATAGAGGCAGGTAGGCAGCTGAGGTTTGGGGCTCTCTCCCTTTGGGCTTTTCTCCTCTCGGGGGTCACCACATCGCTATGTGCCCCCTCCCAAGCCCTTGGGTCTTTGCAGGGTCAGCCCTGGCATGGGGAGCATCTCCACTGACCAGGCAATGGGCCATCCTCAGGCAGCTTTGACAGGTTTCCATCACAAAACCAATCCTTTCCAGCTGCAGCATTTGCCCAAGCCAGGAGGGCTGCAGAGGGCTCAGAACTGCTGAGTGTCAGGAAGCTCCCTGGCACTGCTCAGGTTTGCACCGGTCGCGGCGCCTTTCCAGAAGCAGCTGCGACGCTGCGCAAGCTGAGCTGGGAGGTTTCTTGGCATGTTTTTATGAACTGAAATGCTCTTCTCCTCAGGCCTGCACGCCCGGTGATCCCAGGGCTTTCATTATTTACCCTGACAGGCTGCTGGCTCCTGCGTGCAGCCTGTCGCAGCCCGCGCTGCAAATCATCCCTCACCTTGTCACCACCGAGATGGCAATTTTACAGCTGGCAGCCTCAGTCACGGTGAATTTGCAGCTCTCCTCCTCTCCCTGCCTGGTGATGGTTTAGAAAACATCCTAGCTGGAAAGACCTGGAGTCTGATGAGCATGGTGGTGGTGAGGCTGGGTCAGCCCCCTTGGTGGGCCACGCTCGGCCCACAGAGCCAGCTGGGTCGTGCTGCTCGTCTGGCTTTTTGTTAGAATTGAGTTTCTGGTTTTTCTTATCAGCTCTGGTGTTTCTAAAAGGGTCTCTGCTTCCCAGGAGCATCCCTGTGGTCTGTGCCCTGCTCTGTCCCTGGCAGGGACAGTGCCCTCACACCGCATCCTTTTGCATGCTCCACACAGGGTGAGGGGGGCTGGTGTTTGATATCAGATTTACTCCTTTGGGATCCTAGCATTTCATTTGGATTTAGCAGAGTGATACCACGGTGTACTGACGTACCTGATACAGCATTTGCCATATGCACCTGAGGGGCTGCACAGACATGATGCCCAGCCCCTGTGGGATGCCTCCCCCCAGGCTGGTCTGGCTTGCTCAGGGACATGCTCCTCTCTGCTGATGATCTCTGGGAAGGCTGTTTGTGTGCCCTGGTGAAGCCCTGGTGCAGCGTGTGCCTGCACCCAAGGTCACTATCCCCTCCCCTCAGCTACGCTCTGTTCCCACTTGGTCAGTGCTGGTGGCTCCTTACATCCTGGGATTTTTTGCTTATCTCCTCTAAGCTTTTTTCTGTTGTGGAGGGTGTTGGTTGGTCACAGAGGGAATCAGCTTCGTTTGTTCCTCTTCTCATGGCAGATGAATTTGGCAGTGTACAGTTATTGCAGGTGCAGCAGGGGGCACAGAGAGCCCTGGGGCTGGGGGAGATTTCTCAGAGCAGGGGCTCGGGCACTCACCCTACACCTCTACACACAGGAGCAGCAGCTGGCAGAGCTGGCAGGGGCCCGGCAGGTGCTGCAGGGCGACCTGGGCACCTCCATCCAGCGCATTGCCCGGCTGCAGGCAGCCCTGGAGGACCTGCAGGGCAGCGACGGCAGCGACACTGAGAGGTGAGGCTGGGGGGGTGCAGAGGGGTGGGCTCTGAGGGGTGGGGGATGCTGCATCCTGCAAGGGTGATGCCAGGGTGGCCCGTGGCTGCACGTCTGCATTCTAGCACATTTTTGCTGCTGATTTAATGAAGAAGTGTTACCCTCAAAATCATGCTGCGTGGCCCAGCTTGAAGTAAGAAAAAGGGTGTAAATAGCCCCATTCTCAGACCAAGCCCCTGTCCCTGGCAGCATCACCTGCTGCTGTGCATGTGTAGATTAAAAATCCTGCCCTTAGCTCGGGCACAGGAGCTGGGGTGTTGGAGGGACCAGTGGCAGCGCCACTGAGAGGTGAGGCTGGGGGGGTGCAGAGGGGTGGGCTCTGAGGGGTGGGGGGTGCTGCATCCTGCAAGGGTGATGCCAGGGTGGCCCGTGGCTGCACGTCTGCATTCTAGCACATTTTTGCTGCTGATTTAATGAAGAAGTGTTACCCTCAAAATCATGCTGCGTGGCCCAGCTTGAAGTAAGAAAAAGGGTGTAAATAGCCCCATTCTCAGACCAAGCCCCTGTCCCTGGCAGCATCACCTGCTGCTGTGCATGTGTAGATTAAAAATCCTGCCCTTAGCTCGGGCACAGGAGCTGGGGTGTTGGAGGGACCAGTGGAGCTGGCAGGCTGGGTAGAAGAACTAGGAAAGTACTAGGAAATAATTCCAGTGAATTTTTCAGGTGTTATTTCTACAGCCCTTCAATTTTCCCCTCCACTACGCTGTGGAAGGGGCACGGTGACAAATGGAGACAAAATAGATCAATGCATTAAGAAAGGAAGAAAACCCAAAGCAGCAGGGTGTGCCTGTCACCCTCCCGCGGGGAGGCATTTTTCTTCCTGTAGTGATTAAACCAGAGAAGGGTGAGACAGAAACCCTGAGTTCAGAAATTTGCTTCTTCATTAAAAAAAAACAAACCCTAAGCAAGCAAACAAAAGGCTGGTTTCCAATCCAATTGGAACCTCAGCCGGAGGGGAGAAGTGCTTCCCAGCAGGGACATCCAGGCTGTGCTTTGCTCCCTGCCCTGCACCAGGGGTGTGTGTGGGGGTCCCTCTTGCAGCCCGACGGGTACAGGGAGCAGCTGAGGGGTCTTCAGCCATGCCCCAGCTCTGCTCGGGCTGTGGGAGGGGTGTTGGGACCACAGTGGCTGGGGGGGGCCCCGCGGGCAGCGCGGCACTGACAGCCCCTCTGTCCCCCCAGCGTGCGGACGGCGCGGGACTCGCTCTGCTCCCGGAGAGAGACGTGAGTGAGCCCTGGGGAGCTGGGAGCTGGAAGCCTGCACTGCCTGGTGACAGGGGTCCCGGGCCACCAGCTGCCTGCCAGGCCACCGTGCCCTGCTCGGGCTCTTTGGATGCCCTGGCTCTGTGTGCCCCCGGGCCCACACGC